CCTCTACCACCTCTTTCTCTCCCCAGAGAGAAGCTGGAAGCTGTGGTTTTTGTCTGCTTGTTCTGTGCTGAGCCAGAGTGGGGAGCCATGGCATGTACCAGCTCAAGCCACTGTCTCCCATTCTCCCCTGAGCAGCTAGATTTTGCCAGACTATCAGAACCTCAAGAGTAGTGAGACATATGCAAGTTCTTTTGGCAGCCCTGTTGAAGTTGGGGCACTAGAGGCACAGATCAACTCTTTCCCTCCCCAGCAGGAAGCAAAGAGGTGGAGTTTTTTCATCTATGGAGGTGTTTGTCATGATTTTCATGAGGTTAGCCTGCCCTGCATCCATCCCTAGTTACCTTCCAGGATCAGGACACTGCTCAGAACTACAATACACTGCTGTGAATAGACCTGTCGAAACTATGGTACATGCAGTTCCATCTGACTTCTGCATTATGACTCGCTGCTTGGATTCTCTTGTACCATATCCAATTTGTCATTTGGGACTTCCTGGAACGTTATATAGGAAAATGGTTATCTTTGTGACCGTGGATAGAAATTATGATTTATAATGTAATTTTAGTCTCTGACTAAACCTGTTTGCCTGATGTTGCCAGGCCCTTTTGACACTGTTTTGGATATTTTGGCTCTCCTCATTGAAACCAACCTCTGCGGTTTGAATAGTTTTCTTTAGCCCGCAATCAGAGCTATACTGTAGCACTCTGAATGCTTTTGGCTCATTTCTTTCCTCTCTGCTGTTTTTTAGTTGTCTGAGTGTCCTAGCTTGTCACTTGTTCCAAATCCTTCCTGATACAACCAGTATAGTGGAAAGCACAGGATTTCAAATCAGAAAGGCTGAATTCAGGTCCTAGCTTACTGCTTTCTATTTTGTCACCTTCAAGAAGTCACTTCATCCAGCAAAGAGGCCTGATTTTTAAAAAGTCACTTCATTTTGTTAAATCTTAGTTTCCGCATCTTATGAAATAAAAATATCTTTCTTACGGAATAGATTGAAGATTAAATGAGAATGCATGTGAAAAGGCTTTGAGACTGGAAAGCAGTGTGCAAATGTTAATTTTATTGTCATTTCTTCTTCTTTTATCACTAAAGAAGTTGCATATAATATTGTGACTTGGAGTAAAATCTTGAATTGATCTTGGCAGGTCTTTGAGCTGCTTTGGCTTTTGAATGACTGGTTGAGCTGATGGAGGTCACAGGAAAAGACTTTGCAGGACCGTTGATAGATTTTTACATGTTATAACAGAAGCTTCCTTCCTCAAGGACAGGGAAAATGTTTATTTTCTATCATTCTGTACCTGGAATGTCATCTAATTAATCAGAATTAATTGATACAGATTAACACGGCTGCCTCAATCGAGTGACCCCCTAGTTTTAACTAGGATGCATCTTATTTTAAATCAAATGGACTGAAATCATGTTGTAAATCATAGTTTCTTTCTGTAGCCAGGAAGATAATGTAATAGTTTTTCTCAAAATGTACAATCTTGCTTGATAAAACCTTCACACAGTTTGTTGTTTTCTCATCTCGAGAGTAGACTGTATTTTGTATTTGAGATAGAGACTTGCTCTACCACTCAGGCTGGAGTGCAATGGCTTGATCACAGCTCACTGCAGCTTCAACTTCCCAGGCTCAAGCGATCCTCCTTCCTCAACCACCCGAGTAGCTGGGACCACAGTGTAGGCTACCAAAGCTGGCTAATTTTATTTATTTGTAGAGATGAGGGTCTCCCTATGTTGCCCAGGGTAGTCTCAAACTCCTGGGCTCAAGCAATGCTCTTGCCTTGGCCTCCCAAATTGCTGGGATTACAAGCATGACACGCTTTGCCCAGCTGTAGACTGCATTTGTAGAAGTTCTTTTCATCAGGTGCAGTGGCATGCACCTGTAATGCCAACTACTCAGATGGTAGGATCACTCCCATCCCAAGAGTTTGAGGCCAGACGGGGCAGCATAGCAAGACCCTGTCTCAAAAAAAAAAAGTAGAATTTCTTTTCTGAGCTTTTTCCAGATGCAAATCTCTTTTTCATAGTGTAACTCTCAGCCTTTCAGCTATGTGATCTCCATCACTTACCCAGCTTTGCTGACTGAATTTTCTGCTAAAGGACTGCAATGCTGTCATTGCCTCAGCTGGTGTCAGTGAAGTTGCTCAGTCGAATAACACTGAAAATATGTTTTGAAAGGACCAGAATTATTAAGACAAAAATGAGTTAATAAAATATTAACCACTTAAGAGAACATTCACAAATCAAAATACATGTCTTCATAGTCTCATAAACTATGTAACCAAAAACTGTAATTGGTATTCTACAATAACATCCTAGGATTTTTTTTTTTTTTTTTTTGAAAGACAAGGTCTTCCTCTGTTGCCCAGTTGGAGTGCTGTGGCATGATCACAGCTTAACTGCAGCTTCTGCCTCTTGGTCTGGAGTGATCCTCCCACCTCAGCCACGGACTAGCTGGAACTACAGATGTGAGCCACCACGCCCAGCTAATTTTTACATTTTTTGTGGAGATGAAGTCTCACTGTGTACCTCAGGCTGGTCTAAAACTCCTGAGCTCAAGGAATCCATCCTCCTCAGCCTCCCAAATTCTTAGGATTATAGGTGTGAGTCATCACGGCCAGCCAGGATTTTTTAAAAAGGAACTCAAATTAAAAATGTATATTGGTGACATGTTCCTGTAGCCCCAGCTACTCGGGAGGCTGAGGCAGGGGAATCGCTTGAATCCGGGAGGCCGAGGTTGCAGTGAGCTGAGATCGGCCACTGTACTCCAGCCTAGGTGACAGAGTAAGACTCTGTCTTAAAAAAACAAAACAAAACAAACAAAATTTATATTGGGAGTTTGTTTTCAAAAATATTTTTAAAAATCTGTTTTTAAACAATATTTGTATTTTTAAAAACATCCATTTTAAAACCTCCCTGATTCTGTTATCAATATTTTGAACAAGGGCTATATAAATATATGCCCGTCAGCCCAATACTTACCTAATCTTAGAAGAGTCAGGATATTTAATATCAGTCTTTCCATTAAACAATTTAAGGGAGAAAGAAAGATAGAGGTTTTTTTTTTCTTTTATTTTTGAGATGGAGTCTCACTCTGTTGCCCAGGCTGGAGTGCAGTGGCCAATTTCAGTTCACTGCAACCTCTGCCTCCCGGGTTCAAGCGATTCTCCTGTCTCATCTTCCAGAGTAGCTGGGACTACAGGCATGCACCACCACGCCTGGCTAATTTTTGCATTTTTCTTTTCATATATATTTTTTCACCCAATGTGTTTAAAATGTGTGGTATTTTAACATAATTGTACATAATTTGCTTTGTGAAGTCTTTATCTGAATCTGTAGTCTTACGTTTAATTAGATTTTTAATTTTTATTTGTATGCTTACATAGTAGGTGTCTATATTTATGGGATACATGAGATTTTGATACAGGCATACAATGTATAATGATCGCATCAGGGTAAATAGGCTATCACCTCAAGCATTTGTTTAACTGAAATTTTTGTAGCTGATTTGTTGTTTATTGTAGCAGGGTAAAAATTCTGTTTATTTTAGCAGTTTAAAAATCTTTTGGAAGGTGCTTTTATAGTACTGTTATGAATATTAATAACATTTTTGCTAATTTGAGGCTCAGGAATATTGCAAAAAATTAGAACTCTGTAGCTTATGGACATTTCTGTTACGAGTTTGAAAAAAACCCTCAATTTTGATAATATGAAGGGCATCAATTGTGATTCTACTTCATGGTTATTGTTTAGTTTCAGTATTTTTTTTTTTTTTTTTTTTTTTTTTTAGACAGAGTCTTGCTCTGTCACCCAAGCTGGAATTCAGTGGCACGATCTGAGCTAACTGTAACCTCAGCCTCCCAGGCTCAAGCGATTCTAGTGCCTCAGCCACCCCAGTAGCTGGGATTACAGGTGGGCACTACCATGCCCAGCTAATTTTTGTATTTTTAATAGAGATGGAGTTTTGCCATGTTGACTAGGCTGGTCTCGAATTTCTGGCCTCAAGTGATTTGCCTGCCTCAGCCTCCCAATGTGCTGGGATTATAAGCATAAGCCACTGCGCCTGGCCGAGTTTTAGTTTTAGGTTTTTTTCTTTTTTTTTTTTTTTAGATGATGTCTTGCTGTGTTTTCCAGGCTGTTTCAAACTCCTGGGCTCAAGGGATCCTGCTGCCACAGCCTCCTGAGTAGTTGGTACTATAGGTGTGGAACATCATGCCCAGCTAATGCTTGGGTTTTAAGGAATTCCATGGTCTAGTAAGATTCAGCTATACGGAGTCTGGAGCTCAGACCACTTAGAAAATGGTGACATCATTTGTGCAGATTCAATAGCTGGTTAATGTTGCTGCTAATTGAGCATGTCATTTTTTTCTCACAAAGTAAGGTCAAGGCTTCAGAGCCAGCAGTTAGCTATGTCTGTCTAATGCTTGAAAACATTGGTAAGTGTTTCAGTTTTACAGGGCACATATGTGGATCTTCTTTCAGAATTTCTACGTTTTCTAGTTTTGAAGACATTGTTAAGTTTGGTTTGAAGGGGTTTTTTTTTCATTTGTTTTAGAGAAAGGGCCTCACTCTGTAGCCCATGCTGGATGGAGAACAGTGGCAGGATCAGAGCTCACTGTAGTCTTGGACTCCTGGATTCAAGTGATCCTCCCAACTCAGTCTGTAGCTGGGGCTACAGACGTGTGCTACCAAGCTTGGCTTGTTTTGTACTTTTAAGATTATCTTAATAATATTAATATTTGTGAAGTCAATGCATTTTACTTTCTGAGAATGAGTAATGATTAAGTTATAAACAAGTGACTCCCAAAGAATGCAAATTTTATTTGAAAACTATACTCTAGCTTAAAGAAGGTTTAAATATCCAGTTTGGTTTTACTCTAAGGATCAAGTTTTTTCAGGCTGTATTCATTTGGTCAGTGACTTAGGAATAAGTTTAAAAATGATTTGTTATTTTTAGCCAATGGTAATAGTTCACAGCACATTAATCATCCATTATTATTTCAGAAGTTACTGAAAACCTGGTTACAAATGATAATTCACCTAACATACCAGAGGCAATTGATAGACTCTTCAACGACATAGCAAATATCAACAGGGAGTCTATGGCTGAAATGTCAGACACTCAGGTTAGTATAAAAATACTTCTGTTTATGATAAGTTTTGATGATTCTTCATTTTAACCAATGTATTATGTAAGTAAAAAAGTGGTCTTCATGCTTAACCATTGCTAAACATATAAAAATCTAATTTTAGATGCTCATATCTAATTTAGGGAAAATAAAATTTTAGAAACCAATTGAAAAGTATGTGCTCAAGTTCAATTTATGATTTACTTATTTATTAGTAATAATATGCATTATTAATATTTATTAACCTCTCCAGGCTTCCGTTTTCTCATCTGTTAAATGATAATAGTAATACCCACCTCCAAGTGTTGTTGTGAATAGTAAACAAAATAACATATATAAGGTCCTGGGCACATACTAGTTCTCTTTTCCTTCCTTTTGCAGCAAAGTAGTGGAGAACTCAGTTGACTATAAGCCTTCAGAATTACTTTTTTGGGGGGTAATTTTCTAATGTTTAAATGAAGGTCTGTTACTTACTTAATATGGAAATTGTCTTGAGACTCTGAAACACTTTCAAGAACATTTACCTTGGGCAAATACTTCCATTTTGGTGACTACTTATATGGAAAGGTGAGAAGAAAGTTTATTGTACATCTCTCTCTCTCTTTATATATATGTGTATTTATATATTACAATAGCGTTATTTAGATATAATTTACATGCCATGCAATTCACCCATTTCAAGTATACAATTCAATAGTTTTTAGTATTTCAGAGTTGTTGTGCACCCATCACCACAGTTAGTTAATTTTAGAATATTTTAATCACCTCAAAAAGAAACCTCACACTCGTTCACAAACACTCTCCATTTCCTCCCATCTGCTTCCCTCCCTCACCCTCAGCCCTAGGCAACCACTAATCTACTTTTGGTCTGTATGGTTTTGCCTAATGAGTACATTTTAGATAAGGAGAATCATACAATGTGTGGTTTTTGTGACTGCTTTCACTTAGCACAATGTTTTCAAAGTTCATCCATGGTGTTGCATGTATCTGTACTTTATACATTTTTATGACTGAATAATATCCCATTGTATGGATATACCATATTTTGTTTGTCCATTCATCTATTGATGAACGTTTTTATTGCTTCCACCTTTTGGCTGTTATGAATAATGCTGCTATGAATACTTATGTACAGATTTTTATGTTTTTATTTTTCTTAGGTTTGAACCTAAGAATGAAATTGCTGGGCCATGTGGTAACACTAAACTTTTGATGAACTGCTAGATTGTTTTCTAGAGTGACTGCACCATTTTACATTACCACTAGCAGTATATGAAGGACCCAGTTTTTCCACCTCCTTGCTGACATTTGTCATTATTTGTCTTTTTGATTATAGTCATTCTAGTGGGCATGAAGTGTTATCTCATTGTGTTTTTTATTGTGGTAAAATAAACATGACATAAAATTTACCATCTTTACCACTTTTAGGTGTATAGTTCACTTATGTTAAGTATGTTCACATTGTTGTGCAGCCATTCTCCAGAACGCTTTTCATCTTGCAAAACTGAAACTCTATACCCATTAAGCAACTCCCCCTTGCCCTCTAAAATTCTTAGGAATTTTGGGATCAGCTTGTCAATCACCATTTTACTTTCTGTCTCTACAAATTTGACTACTCTTGGTACCTCATGTAAGTGGAGTTATATAATAATTGTCTTTTTGTGACTGGTTTATTTCTCTTAGTGTAATGACTTCAAGGTTCATCCATGTTGCAGCATTTGTCAGAATATCCTTCTTTTGTATGACTGAATAATCCATTGTATGTGTATACCACATTTTGTTTATCAGTTCATTTGTTGATGGACACAGGTTGCATCCACCTTTTGCCTATTGTGAATAATGTTGCTAGGAGCATTGGTATGGAAATTTCTCTTCAAATCCCTGCTTTAAATTTTTTGGATATATACCCAGAGTTGGAATTGGCTGTATCATATGGGAAATCTGTTTTTAATTTTTTGAGGAACCGGCATACTGTTTTTCATAGCAACTGTACCATTTTACATTTCTGTCAATAGTGAACAACGGTACCAGTTTCTTCACATTATCACCAATACTTGTTGTTCTGGTTTTTTTTTTTTTTTTTTTTTTAAATTGATAGTAGTCATTCTAGTGACTGTGAGGTGGTATCTCAGTGAGGTTTTTTTTTTTTTTTTTTGGGACAACCACATTCTGTCACCCAGGCAGCTCACTGCAACCTCTGCTTCCTGGATTCAAGTGACTCTCGTGCCTCAGTCACCTAAGTAGCTGGGATTATAGGCAAACACACCCACACCTAGCCAATTTTAGTGTTTTTAGTAGAGACGTGGTTTTGCCATGTTGGCCGGTTTGGTCTCGAATTCCTGACCTCAAGAGATCCACCCGCTATGGCCTCCCAAAGTACTGGGATTACAGGCTTGAGCCACTGTGCCTGGCCGTAAATCTCTTTTTAGATCATAAATTCTTATTGTATTTAGCTGTTAGTGAAAATAAATTATAACATTCAGTGCCAAGAGTTTGGGTTTTCTTTTTTGTTTTTTAGACAGTGTCTCGGTCTGGCGTGCAGTTGTGTGATCTTGGCTTACTGCAGCCTTGACCTCCTGGGATCAAGTGATCCCCCTGCCTCAGCCCTCCAAGTAGCTGGGACTGTACGCGTGCACCACCATGTCTAGCTAATTTTTTGTACTTTTCATAGAGATGGGGTTTCTCCATGTTGCCGAGGCTAGTCTTGAACTTCTGAGCTCAAGTGATCTGCCCGCCTTGGCCGCCTAGTGTTAGGATTATGGTCATGAGCTACAAGAGTTTGGTCTTATTTTTCAAGAAGATCTGCTTGGTTTTGGAAATGCCTTGAATTTATTTTCTTTCTGGAAAGTCTAATCTTTGTATTATCTACTTCCGTTTGCAGCATGTATTTACCATGTTTATCATTATACATGTATATAAACCTATGACAAGACCTGCCACATTTTAGGTACTTAATACATACTTGTCGAGTGTATATGTGTTTTGGGATTATGAAGTATTTACAATCATAGTTTATCTTACCCTTTCTAATACAATATGAGAAAATACAAAAACATTGTTTAAAATCATAAAGTAACATAACTTTACACAAAGTTTTAAAAAATTGATACAAAAATCACCTGCAAACATACCACTTCAATATAACTAATATTATTTTAATATATTTTCTTTAATAGTTTTACTATTTAAATGTTATTTAGCTGTAATTATAATGTAGATGTAATATATTGGGCATCATAAAAGGCAATTTTCTCTGTTTTCCCAACATTTTAAAATAAACATTTTCAAACAGAAAAATTGAAAGAATATCACACTGGACATCTGTATAACAGCCACTTACATTCTAGAGTTGTAACATTTTACCATATTTGCTTTATCACATATACATTTGTTCATCAACCCATCTTATTTTTTGGGTGCATTTTAAAGTAAGTTGCTGAGAACAGTACATTTCCCCCCCAAATGTTTTAGTGTGCATATCATTAACTAGAATCCAATATTTTATTAAAGTTTTTTTTTTAGGTAAGATTTACATAAGTACAAGTTTTTGTACATACAGTTTTGTATCTTTCCTTCTTTCCTTTTTCATCAGACATGTAATAAATATACTCTGGTGTTAAAAATATAGTTTTCATGGTCACTATTTTATTTTATTTTTATTTTTATTTTTTTGAAGTGGATTCTTGCTCTGTCACCCAGGTTGGAGTGAAGTGGTATGATCTCGGCTCACTTCAGCCTCTGTCTCTCAGGTTAAAGTAATTCTCCTGCTTCAGCCTCCCGAGTAGCTGGGATTACAGGCTTGTGCCACCACACCCTGCTTTTTTTTTTTTTTTTTTTTTTAATATATCTTTAGGAGAGAGGGGGTTTCACCATGTTGGCCAGGCTGGTCTCGAACTCCTGACCTCAAATGATCCACCTGCCTCGGCCTCCCAAGGTGCTGGGATTACAGGCACGAGCCACCATGTCCGGTCATGAGCCCTATTTTAAATCGATGAATACTGTTCCATCAAGGAAGTTTATTTGGCTCATGGTTCTGCAGATCATTTAAGAAGCATGGCATCTGCTTCCAGTAAGGGACTCAGAAGTTTCCAATCATGGTGGGAGGAGAAAGGAAGCAGGCATCACATGATGTGAGAGGAGGAAAGAGAGAGGAGGAGGTACCGGGCTCTTTTTTTAAGAATCAGATCTTGTAACTAACAGACTGAGAGTTCACTCATTACTGTGAGGACAGCACCAAGACAATGAGGGATCCATCCCTGTGACCCAAGCATCTCCCATCAGTCCTGCCTCCGACATTGGGGATTAAATGTTGATATGAGATTCCCAGGGGAAAAATATCCAAACTATATTACATGCTGAATAAATCATCTGTTTAAACTGAAGTTCATCAGAAAAATGTGGAACCGTAGGTGAAAAAAGTGGTGTGGAAGAAAAGACTTAAAACTGACATACAATTTTGTACCATTGCTGTGCATAAAATAGGTTATTTTGGTGTATCCAGTTATTTTTGGTCTTAGTCATATACTACTACTGATATATTTATTATAAGATAATGGCATATAACTTCTATCATACTCACCATAGCATACTGAGAGATTTAGGCCAGGGCTATGCCATATTGGTCTCAGGCAATAGTACTATCTAGGACCAATTATTGCCTTCAGAGATCTCTTGCCAGAAACCAACCTATTCCCAATTGCATGTTTTGTGTCTTCATTTTTTCTTGAGACACTATAAGCTTAATTTAGTTTTATATCCTGTTGACTAGTTTCTACCTAATAGAAAGATAAGCCCCCCCAAAAACAAACTTCCTCCTAGTCCCCAGAACAAAACATAACAAAATAACAAATCAGTACTGTAAGTGCTACATCAATTGTATAAGAAATGATGTATGATATCAAGGAATCTAGTTAGGAAATGAGACTAAGAACTAAAACATGGCTGGGTGCAGTAGCTCACACTTGTAATCCCAGCACTTTGGGAGGCCGAAGTAGGTGGATCACCTGAAGTCAGGAGTTCGAGACCAGCCTGGCCAACATGGTGAAACCCTGTCTCTACTAAAAATGCAAAAAATTAGCTGGGCATGGTGGCAGGTGCCTGTAATCCCAGCTGCTTGGGAGGCTGAGACAGGAGAATTGCTTGAACCTAGGAGGCAGAGGTTGCAGTGAGCTGAGATCAAGTCATTTCACTCTAGCCTGGGCGACAGAACAAAACTCTGTCTCAAAAAACAAACAAACAAAAAAACCCCAAAAACTTAAAACTAAAACAATTAAAGAATAAATGATACAAAGTAATATAATTAATTGCCAAATTGTATACAACTTAATGAATATAGGAATTCAAAGAAGAAAAATCAATGTAGACTGTAATGGTTGCTGAAAGCTTCATTTACGTTGTTGGTAAGACTGAAATGGATTTGAGTTACATAAAAACAAAGGGAGGAGGTATAACAGGTGAAGCCAGTAGTATGAACAAAGACACATTGATAGGAACGAACAAATTTTGTTCAGGAAATAGTGAGTGAGATAATTACTCTAACAGTGGGTATGTTTTCGGGGGGAGAGGTAGAATGGGACTAGATTATGGATGGCCTGGAAATGTCCCACAATAGTTACATTCAAGAATGAAAATACCGTTGGAGGTGGACAGTATTTTAACTAGCTAAGGAAATGTTTCTTTTTGACCAGATTGAAGAAATAGCAGTAAACCTATGGAACTGGGCACTTACCAAGAGAGGAGATTTTCATATAAACGAAGAGCAGAAAACTAAAAGTACGTATACATATTGTGACTCATATTATGAGGAGTGTTTTTTACTATATATTGGTTAGTGTTCCTGCAGTTTAAATAATGTTTTGACCAGTTCTTAGATAGAGATTTGTTAAAAGACAAACAACCCACACTGGTTTCTCAAACAAATAGCCTCCCTCAGTTTTATGATTTTTTAGAGGTTAGCTCCTTAACAAACTTTAAAGGTATCACCACAAGAAATAGTCTGGAGGTGAACAACAAAGATGATTAAAAGATGGGGCAGTGAGAACTTAAAGAAATGTTAAAGGACATGGATTATTTCTCATGGAGATGATAAAAATCTTTATGGTTCTGAAGGACCATCAAATAGTAGTTTCCCCTCTATTAATAATAAGAGTGATAAGTGTTGCCATGTGACAGATTTATATTTTGAAAGAATAGTTTCCTCTGGAGGTGGATTGATAAATGTCGGAATAAGTTACTGAGAAAAACTATAGAAATTCTTTCTACCTGTGAGAGAAAACAGCAACAAAAACCAAAAATCTCAAAGTAAACTCATCTTCTTGGATGCTTTGAATGTGGTCCACTGTCTGGCACTGTTCTAGTGCTTTAGCTAAATGGGCAAAGTCTAGTGTGCTGACAGTTACTGATTTTCAACAGGCATAGTGACAGCAAATGCATTTATGGGAAGTATTTTGCCCATAAAGGATACATTGAAGTAACAAACCAAAGGGTGAACCTCTGGACTACTTGACATTGTAAAGACAAATGATTTTTGTCTGTATGCAACAAATAGAATTTGCTATTATTTATCTTTGTCAATATAAACAAAACTGTACACAACTTCCATGTAGACATAGGGTAATTGTACTTAATGTAATCAATAATATACTTACTCATGAGTCCACTCTGTTAGCATGTTTAGAGAACAGTTCTAGCTCTTTAACTCTTAGATAAATTGATATCATTGCTCCCAGGAGCCTTAGATCCTGTAGTTATGGGGAGGTAAGAGCTAGGAACTGATCAGTGGAAGAAACCTTAGTACACAGGTGAATCGTGTGGTATTAAAGTGCATGAATTCTTAACTCCTACCCTTCTGCATATGAAGAAATATTGCTTTAGCTGTTTACTGCTTATCAAATAGGGATATGGTGGATGAAGTGGCTATCGCAGCCTCTTCCCATGTACCATCTCATTTCTTTCTTTCTTTTTTTAGGGAAGGCAAGGGGTAAGGTCAGAATCACAGTGTTGATGGGGTTAGGGCCAGGGAGATGAGAGAGCTAAGGAAGAGAAAGAATGTTAAAAACAAAAAAGGGGGTGTGTAAGAGGGAAAAATACTAAACAGGGGTAAGGAAAGTCGGGAAAGTGGAGAAAAAAGGGGGAAGCAAGGAGAGGAGAAAGGCAAGAGGGGAGAGATGAAGAGGGAGAGGCAAGAGATAAGAGAAGAAAAGGGAAGGATGAGAGGGGACAAGAGACAGTAAAGAAAAGAGTCCCATGTACTGTTTCATTTCACATAGCAGTTCTTAATCAGATATTTGGGTGTTTGTTATGTGTATCATACTTTTTTTTTGATATAGTGGAGAATAGGTTGTTAGTCCAAGTTAAAATAATTTTATTTCAAAAATATGTTTATTGGAGGATATTTTGTTTCCTTAAAAACAAATTTGGCCGGGCGCGGTGGCTCAAGCCTGTAATCCCAGCACTTTGGGAGGCCGAGGCGGGTGGATCACAAGGTCGAGAGATCGAGACCAACCTGGTCAACATGGTGAAACCCCGTCTCTACTAAAAATACAAAAAATTAGCTGGGCATGGTGGCGCATGCCTATAATCCCAGCTACTCAGGAGGCTGAGGCAGGAGAATTGCCTGAACCCAGGAGGCGGAGGTTGCGGTGAGCCGAGATCGTGCCATTGCACTCCAGCCTGGGTAACAAGAGCGAAACTCCGTCTCAAAAAAAAAAAAAAAAACAAATTTAGTGTGCCTGGATTATGCTATATGATGAAATAAGTCATGAAGATGTATAAGCTACAATTCTTTATTATTTGGAAGAATTATGGAACAATGAACAAGAAAGTCAGAAGTAGATGAATGACTTGTAAATTTTAGTTTTCGACCTGTTGCATTTGAGATGACAGTAAGGTTGGAGATGGGAGACTAGAGCTTACAAGACAGGTAAGGATTGAGCCTGTAGATTTGGCTATTATTTACACAGTGGTCGTAGTTGAAACCAGAAGAGTAGTTGAGTTCTTTGAGGGAAAAAATAGAAATAAAGAAAAAATAAAGAGCAATGGTTCTTAAATATTGGTATAAAAAAGAATCAGGCTGGTCGTGGTGGCTCATGCCTGTAATCCCAGCACTTTGGGAGGCTGAGGCAAGTGGATCATCTGAGGTCAGAAGTTCAAGACCAGCCTGGCTAACAGGGTGAAACCCAGTTTCTACTAAAAATAAAAAAGTTAGCCGGGCATGGTGGGGCATGCCTGTAATCCCAGCTACATGGGAGGCTGAAGCAGGAGAATCGCTTGAACTCAGGAGGTTCAAGGTTGCAGTGTGCTGAAATCGCACCATTGCATTCAAAACTCCATTCCCCACCCCCCCAAAAAAATCAGAATCACCTGTGAAGCCTGTTAAAAATGCAGATGCCCAGGCCCTACCATTGTTGGTTTTGATTCATTTAGGTTCAGGCTGAAATCTGGGCATGTCTATAATTTGAAAAAATGTCTCAGGAATTCTCATGCACACCAAAATTTAAGAACCAGTGGTATTGAGAGAAGAACAAAGTAGTGAGATTTTAACTCTGAATCTACCAGGTTCAAAGTTAAATAAAAAGAATAAGGATAAGTGAACCAAAAGAAACAGTCAAAAAATTCTACAGGAGATTTGTTAGTCATTTATTGCATGGATTCTCTTTATAGGCTTCTTGTACCATCTTATGGTACATAGCAAGTGAAACGGAAAAGGTAAGATACCAGAACAAAAATACCAGTCATACATTATGCTTGAGGATTTGGGAAGGAATAGTTTAAAACTAGATAAACAATAAATTTAAAAATTTATAAATGTCAGAGGGTACAACACTGTGTTTTTCTAAAATGAATTCAAATTCAGGCAGGTAGAGCAGAGTAAAGAGAATGTTCAAAGGTGTCAGTCACCAAGTACCTAACCAAGATGTTTATAATATAGAGAGGTCAAGAACAGGCTGGTGAGAAGACAAGACGGAGCAACAACAACAAATAAAACATCTTTATATGGGAGCGTCATTCTGTTTCAGCCTCAGCCGCCGTTGGCTTTAAGTCTTATTGGTGATAATTATAAACACCTGGATTACGAATGTGAGAATTCGAGCAGAGATCTTAGACTAAGATATTTCCCACACAAGGACCAGGATATTTCAGGCTGAAGGAGTATTTTTTTTTTTTTTTTTTTTCCGAGACAGGATCTGGCTCTGTCACCAGGTTGGAGTGCAGTGGTGCAATATTGACTCACTGCAACCCCTGCCTCTTGGGCTCAGGTAAACCTCCTACCTCAGCTTCCCAAGTAGCTGGGACTGTAGGCATTCACCGCCACACCCCACTAATCTTTGTATTGTTTGTAGATAGGGGTTTGGCCATGTTGCTCAGGCTGGTCTGAAGCTCCAAGGGAGTAATGTTTTTCAAAAAGGTTATCACCATTACGAAATGTTGCTGAGAATTTAAGGAAGGTGATCTTTAGGAGTGCAGTTTTAGTAAAGTGGTAAGGATGCAAAACAGATTGAGGGCAATTAAGGAGATGAGTGAGTAGCAAGACATAGAGGTAGTAGACGGACTTTTCAATTCAAGAAGTTTGTTAATGAAAGGAAGAGGAGAAATAGGATGCAAGCCTGAAGCATAGTGGGGTTAGTTGATTTTTTTTTCAAGGTGAGGAGATGGGGACATTTGAAGGTAGAGGAGAAGGAATAAACTGAGAGGAAACTACTCAAGATACTTTTAGAAAGGGGCGATAATTGGGCGTGGTGGCTCATGCCTGTAATCCCAGCACTTTGGGAGGCCGAGGCTGTTGGATCACGAGGTAAGGAGTTTGAGACTAGCCTGGCCAAGATGGTGAAACCCCGTCTCTACTGAAAATTCAAAAAAATTAGCCAGACATGGTGGCATACACCTGTAATCCTGCTACTCAAGAGGCTGAGGCAGAAGAATTGCTTGAACCTCGGAGGCAGAGGTTGCAGTGAGCCAAGATCGTGCTACTGCACTCTAGCCTAGGTGACAGAGTGAGACCGTCTCAAAAGAAAAAAAAAAAAGAAAGAAAGAAAGGAGAAATAATTGAGAGATAAGAGCCTGAAATTATTGAAGGATTAGTAAACTTTGGAAATTTGAAATAAAGAAGGGAAACATTTTATTTTTATTTTCTTTATTTTATTTTACTTTAAGTTCTGGGATACACGTGCAGAACGTGCAGGTTTGTTACATAGGTATACATGTGCCATAGTGGTTTGCTGCACCTATCAACCCATCATGTAGATCTTAAGCCCCAAATGCATTAGGTATTTGTCCTAATGCTCTCCTCTGACAGGCCCCGGTGTGTGATGTTCCCCTCCCTGTGTCCATGTGTTCTTACTGTTCAACTCCCACTTATAAGTGAGAACATGTGGTGTTTGGTTTTCTGTTCCTGCATTAGTTTGCTGAAGATGATGGTTTCCAGTTTTATCCATGTCTCTACAAAAGATATGAACTCATTCTTTTTTATGACTGCAGAGTATTCCACGGTGTATATGTGCCACATTTTCTTCATCCAGTCTATCACTGATGGGCATTTGGGTTGGTTCCAAGTCTTTGCTATTGTAAATAGTGCTGCAATAAACATACTCGTGCCTGTGTCTTTATAGTAGAATGATTTATAATCCTTTGAGTATATACTCAGTAATGGAATTGCTGGGTCGAATGGTATTTCTGGTTCTAGATCCTTGAGGAATCACCACACTGCCTTCCACAATGGTTGAACTAATGTACACTCCCACCAATAGTGTAAAAGCATTCCTCTTTCTCCGCAT